AGCTGAATTTTCAGCATCATTACTGCAGTTATTTTAAATAGTAAAAATATTTCACAATATTACTTTTTTTTTTTTTGCTGTATTTTGAATCAAATAAATGCAGGCTTGGTGAGCAGAAGAGACTTCTTTAAAAAACATTAAAAATCTTACTGTTCGAAAACTTTTGACTGGTAGTGTATGATGTCAAGTGCACTAGCAGAATAACCAAAACTGTAACTCACTAAATTAGCTCCTCTTGACAACTACAAAGTGTCCCAAAACTTTACTGTTTTGAACAGTAACATGGCTTGAAAACCCAGCATACTTGTGCTTGTGAAATATTTTACTTGAAATGTGTGCATGCACTAAATATATGCTATTGGTTTTGATATGTTGTTGTCTAATGCAGTGGTTCCCAACCCTGGTCCTTGAGGCACCCCAACACTGCACATTTTGCATGTCTCCTTTCTCTGACACACCAATTTCAGGTCTTGAAGTCTCTACTAATGAGCTGATGACCTGAATCAGGTGTGTTTAAGGAGACATGCAAAACGTGCAGTGTTGTTGGGGTGCCTCAAGGACCAGGGTTGGGAACCACTGGTCTAATGTATTGAAATTAATACATTATACTAAGCATACTAAATTAATGTAAGTGTGTAAAGTGTCCATTAGTTCAAAGCATTGGAGTGCGTTTGGGTGGGGACTATTTGAACGGTGAAGGCCATTTTCAGTTATATGAAAACAGAACCGTACTAAAAATGAATGCCAGGACAAACCTGTTCATTGGCATCCTCCATCCACAATTTGAGGGTCTTCCTGATTGTGGGGTAGTTGTTTCTCATAGTGCTTTGAGGTTTGAGTAACCCAACCTTTTCCAGGTTCTTGAGAGTTAGAATGTGCTTGTAACCATATGTCTAACCCAACAAAACACAAACAACTGTAAATGTTTAAGGCATTTATAATTCACTTCTATGGTCTTGCACAAGTGTTGCACAAAATTCTGTGATTCAAATTCACCATTATGCATTCACAAAATCTGTCTAAAAGCAATAAATAATAAAAGCAAAGCACAAAGAAATTCCCTCTGTCATACCTGAAGGATCTCTTTCTTATAGTAGTCCAGGACCTTCTGTTTGAGGCCGTTGTTGCAGACAGACTGCATGCAGACCAGTCGCAGGATCTTTATCAGCGGGTCTTTCTGTGCTATGCAGTCTTCTATATATGTGCTGACCTGAGAGTAAAATCACAATAAACACACACTGAACAAAGACATTACTCAAACCTCAAATATAATCCATCTCCAGATAATGTAAAAAGTACCATGTTAAAAATGCATTTCTTTTCTCATATTTCTAAAATTATTTCTAAAATATTTAGGGGAAGTGAGCTTGTATATTAAACCTCATTCTTTTCTGTTTGAACAATAATTGATGCAGAGTAGTCCATTGTATTTACACCTAGAATATCTTGGATACTTTTAGCATTATATCAGTTGCTCCCTGCAGTGAATGGGTGCCGTCAGAATTAGAGTTATGATGGATTTGTTTCTTATAAACATGCAGCTTTTGTCTTCTCCAGATGTGAACTGATGGACTGGAGTGGTGTGGATTATTGTGATGTTTTTATCAGCTGTTTGGACTCTCATTCTGACGGCACCCATTCACTGCAGAGCATCCATTGCTGAGACACTGATGCAATGCTACATTTCTCAAAATCTGATGAAGAAACAATCTCTTTCTCATTCAAAACTACATTTTGAATGGCCTTAGGGTGAGTAAATTTTCATCACATTTTCATTTTAGGAGAACTATTCCTTTAACTTTTTTTTTTTTTGCACAAAAACAGAACATTTCTTTAAGGTTATACAAATCATAAGAAAATGTCCATTACAAATGTCATTTCTTAAATTATATTGCATTTATAATGAAATCATAAACAAGGCACCTTGTCTGTGTCTACTCCAGTCATAAACTCTTGCTCAACGGTCAGACTGTCAAAGAAGTCTTCTGAGGCTGAAACACAGGACAGCAAGGCACAAAAAAAGGTAAGTAGTAAAAAGCTAAATTAATGTGAACTCATGTCAGGTCTCATAATATTATCATATCATTTACCACAGTTTGTTAAAATGACTAGGAAAGACATTTACAGTACAATGGAAGTCCAGCAAGCAAGCAGGCGGGCACCATCAGGAATATTCAAATGTGCATTTCTCACCATATTACATAATATGAAGTATAACCACGTGTCAGCTCATAAGTCACAGTGTGCTGAATTCCAAAAACAAATTATCTAAATAAATTATTTATATATTTATGGGCCATTGCAAACCATGTTAGCATTTAATCACAGCATATGAATGCATGATTATGTTTTACTAAATGATATCAGCAGAATGACTACTACTTGGCAGAAATAGAGTCATTCGTAGAATTAGCAATTGCACTTAACTGAATAACTTAATCCTGGTTAATCCTCTAAATCTACAGTTGATAAAGTTCACTGCATGAAAGGAGAGCAAGAAAAACAACAGGCTGTGCCAAAAGCATTTCTAACCAGGCCACATTTATAAATATCTATAGTCAAAATTAAATTTAAGATATCTGCAATTCTGTTTTCATTAGTTGTAAAAGCTAATATTAATTGGACACTCTACATAACTAGTCAGAATTCATTCTTTTTTCTGACAAAAACTAGTTTAAAATAAATTTAGAATGTGCTAGAAATAAACCTAAGATCTGATTCAGTACGTCAGAAATCTGAAAAATGGACATTTGCACTAGTAACAACATAATTATTGCTATTAAAAAATGATGCTTTCATTTGTAAGATGCTTTTTTTTTTGGAATCCCCACTAAGGAATTAATTACTAGATATCTGCTATTGCTTTTGTGAGCCAATCATTATTTTCTTTGTTTACTTTTCTAGTGAAAATGCAGTTCAATACATTCGATAGAAAATTTGATGTACAGTGGGTACGGAAAGTATTCAGACCCCCTTAAATTTTTCACTCTTTGTTATATTGCAGCCATTTGCTAAAATCATTTAAGTTAATTTTTTTCCTCATTAATGTACACACAGCACCCCATATTCACAGAATTGGAATCCCCATTAAGGAATTAATTACTAGATATCTGCTATTGCTTTTGTGAGCCAATCATTATTTTCTTTGTTTACTTTCCTAGTGAAAATGCAGTTCAATACATTCGATAGAAAATTTGATGTATATAAAAAAAAATCATCAGAATTCACCAGCCTGCCATTGTAAAAACATTTACAAATCTTTTCTTTTTTCTTTACAAACTGAGGGATGAGTTACACTTGTTGCCTATGACAGTGTTCCACAGACCTGAAGTTGATAATAACCAGAAATATTTCTTTAATTTCTGACTGCACGAATGACTTACTTGTTATGTCCTTTATGAGTTCAGCGATGGAGGTGTGATTAGCCAGGGAGCTCCGAGCCGCCTGCATGTGAGGCAACTGCGAAACAAACTGTTTAATCTCTCCAACAGTTTTTGCATTGTGTCGCTCCTGGCACAGAGACGGGAAAACCAGCTCATTAATGGCAAACACTAGCAAATCAGCATATTAGAATGATTTCTGAAGGATCACGTCACACTGAAAATTCAGCTTTGATCACAGAAATAAATATGACCCTGGAGCACAAAAGCAGTCTTAAGTCGCTGGGGTAAATTTGTAGCAATAGCCCAAAATACATTGTATGGGTCAAAATTATAGATTTTTGATTTCAGATGCTGTATAAATCTCAATTTCACAAAATTGACCCTTATGACTAGTTTTGTGCTCCAGGGTCACATTTTAAAATATATTCACATAGAAAACAGTTCTTTTGAATTGTAATAATATTTCACAATGTTACCATTTTTACTGTATTCTTGCTGTTGTCAGAGTCAGACACACAAAAGCAGCACAGACCTCAAACGCAGCTGATATAATCTTGGCTTTCTTGCTGAGAGCCGCTCCAACAGCATTGAAGTTCTTGTCCCGTATTTCAGCATAAAGCTCCTCGGCCGAGTTGAGCTGCAGTTTTTTCGGCTCAGTGGGGAGCTCCTTCCCACCTTCTCCCTGTTTCTTCTGTGCAAACTTCTCAGGAGGTAGCTTCACGTAACCTGCCGAAGCAACCAATGTATGACGAGACAGACTACTGGGGAAAACGAGAGCTTTGAAATTCAATAATTCAATACGAATTTGAAACTCATTTACCATTAGTGATGCCAAAGATCTCATCGATAAGACCCTCATAGGTAAGTTGAGTGGCTAATGGCGTAAGCAAATCCACGTTGCGATCCAACAGGAGGAGGGTATCGAACACGGGCAGGATTTGCGTTTGACTCCCTGCAAACTCTCTCTTCATCCGCAACATCATGTTGGCCACATGCTGAGAAAGACACAGCCACCATGCACACAATTAAAATTAAAAATCAATGAGAGAAATAAATGAAAAGAGTTGACACAAACACTTTTCTACTCACTCTTGCACACTCGCCTTTGCCAAAGATTTGCGGTATTGTTCCATAAAGTGCTTGCAAAGTCATGAGGCCCTTGGCAGCGTGATACAGGCTCGTCTGATCATTCTCTAAATAGCATTCCTTCATGAAAGAAAACAAGGTTATGTGAACATCCCAAAGCATCTGCTCATGCATAATATGTCAGCTTTTTATTGCATATAAAACAGGGTCATAACCAGTTGTTTCTAATGATTAATCAAAAGCTGCTTTCCCAGAGCCAAAAACAGGACAACGTTTTACAAATGTTTGATGTTATTGAATGAGACACTTTTGCAGCTTAACTTGGTCTTTTTTTGGGGTCTATATTTATTTACACAGTACAACCAACATTCATTTAAAGGGGTCCTATTATGCTTTATCACTTTTTGAGCATAAAAAAAAAAGATCTGCAAGGTTACAAAGCTCAAAGTCCACTCTAAAAGGAGATTTTATGATTTTATTAACAGAAAACACTTCAAAAACTACAACAAACGGCTGGCTATATTACTTAATGTAACGATAGTTCTAATGCTAATAATAATTAAAACATAATTTTTTAAGGAATAATTACTTTATCCAATAGCATTTCTGAAAATAAATAAATAATAGTAAATAGTAATACATTTTTTAAAAATAAAATCAGTTAATTTGGTCAAAATAAAACACAATTTGAGAAGAAAAAAAAAATGTATTTCATAGGGCCTTAAAAATGTACTTTTTGTTCTAACTTTTAATAAATTGCTGTTAAATTGTGCAAGTTTCATTATTTCAATTAATTAGACATGCTTTTTGAGTCATATTTTTTAATTTAACATTTAAAACAGAATGCAGAAAAATTTTAACTGAAAAAAAAACAAAAAACTGAATTTAGGGAGAAAAATAAAACAGATTTCATAGGGCCCTAAAAATGTTCAAATATGAAACATCAGGCTTTTGAGGAAGGTTTAGTTGTTCATCTCTCAATCATCATTGCATTGCACTGCTTTATATGTTTTGAACCTACAGAGCTTTGATCATAAAACTAAGCATTTGAAATATCATCCCAAAAAAACACTATTGGGAGATGACACCTGATCTCATTGATTTACATTACAAGCAATCTGAATTTCATCTTACTTTTTGGCCATATAAATATCAGCAACTGCACCAAATTTCATATTTTTGCTCAGTTTGCATAAAATTTGTTTGAATTCCATATTCTTACTATATCATACTACATGAGCCATAAAAACCTAATGCATCAAATATGAAACTCAACAAAAAACACACTACTACTACTACTAATAATGCATTAATAAAGCACCAGAGGGTCTTTTGTATCCGTGGATATTTCTAGTCAAGGTCTGACTAACGCTGAATGAGAAATCCTACAGAAAATGAATGCAAATCCATACTATTCTTGCCATTCAAACATGGTCTTACTCTAAAGGAACTCTCAGACTCCATGGAAAGAAGATCTCCATCGTAAGGGATAAGGTCCAGAATGTATTCATCGATGTTAGTGAAAGAGTTCAGAACCCCTTTCTCCTTCAGCCGCTGTTCACACAGCAGACCCCGGCGAGGCACAAACAGAATGTGGAAATCTCGGGGTTGTAGTTTATCCTCACTGCAATGCAAATATTACAATGTAATATCATCAGCAGCACAGCACTGTCACTGACTACTGCCAGCAATCACTGTAAAAAATGACCGTGAATTTAACGGTAAAAGACTGTAAAAATGCTACAGTAAAAACCTGTTAAATGGTTAACGGTAAATTCCCCTACTATATACGGTGAAAAACTGTATTGGACATTACATGTATTGGACATTAATTTTACGGTAGTATACCGTTTTTGGAAGTGAAAAATACTGTATAATTTACAGTGAATAACCGTAAATTGGCATTCCCAGAATTCCCTGCGTTACATTTCAAATTTGATGTTTTTTTGTTGAAATAACTATGTTTCTTCTTAGTTTTTTCTTATCAGTTTTGTATATTAGGGTTGTGTGTTACACCTAATGTTGTTAAATGAATGTTTATTGCATTATTTCAGTTTCATGTGTGTCACCATGATGGTGTTTAGTGTTTGTGTGAATGAAACTGTGCACCTTCTATATATGTTATTATTTAAAAGCTGCTTGTGATGGGCTTTGGTTCATCATGTGACTTTCTCATCACCACCTGCATTTGGTGGTTATCAGTGTATTACAAAGGTACAAAACAGATTTCAGTACTTCAATAGGTTGGTATATTAACATTTTATCAGTTAATGAAATTACGGTATTTAACTGTAAATTTAAGTTAAAACCGTAAAACTTAAAACGTTGCTACCGTATTTTTTACGGTAAAATTCAGGCAACCACAACTGCCGGTTTTTTACCGTAAATTTTACGGAATTTTTTTACAGTGCACTGCACATACTTAAAACTACCTTTTTATTTCCTCTAATCAAAATCTCTGTTGTGAATGTTATTTTGGGAGCAACTGTTGTCTCAGAATTGAAAACCAGCACATTTTATGAACAGTTCATAATATATTTATATATTTGTTTATGATGTTTGTTCAGATTCAGACTCGTCCCGGGTCATTTGTTTGTCTGTCTACTTTAGTGCTGGCCAAAAGAATGCTTTGTTTGACTTACCTTGCAACATTTTCTGCAATGATGTCCATCAATTCCAACCTTGGTCGCACAAAAAAGACAATATTCTTGACGGAAGCGGACGGTATACGACCACCTTTGAGAGTGAACATTTTCTCGACTTCATGTTCCTTTTGAAAAACGAAATTGAGACAGTTAGCATACTTTCTTGAAGAGGGATAAAATATTCTTTGAAATTGGAAATTATATTTTCTGGTTTCGCACTCACCAGAAAATATATGTATATATATGTGTTTTTATTTATTGTATTTTTTTGGTATAATTTGTGATTTAAAAAAATAAAAAAAATTGTATAATCCGTCACTCACCTTCAAAAGGGAATACTGAGCAATTAACCCGAAGGGTCCAGTAAGATACTCGTCCCAAACAATGGCCTTAAATAAAACATAAATTGTGAAAACCCATGAATTAGAGGATGATGAAGCTATTAACGTTACATGTCGACTGACAGCATCACTGAACAATATTTGCAGTAATAATAAATCGCATAAAGTGCCGTTCACATTCGGAGCAAATCCGGAGTGTGACAGCAGGAGAAGGACAGACTAATCTGCATTAGTTGGTATTAAATCAAAGAGCTTTACCTTGCTTCCCGAACACTTATCTAAAAACTCGCGCAGGTCTTTTCGTGCAGCCTCTCTCAAAATATTTAGGTTTACTCTGCCGCAAAACAAATGCGACGCCATATTTGTTGAACCACAATCATATGACTTTCAGGACGTCACGTGATTCGTCTTTCAAAATAAAAACCAGCAGATGTAAATTTTACCACAGTGTTTATAATTTAATAAATTTTAATATAATATCATTTCAATATTTTGAAATATTTCTATGCTATTATTATTATATCATTAGCTTCGTTTCGCGAAAATAATTTTGGATTAATCACGACTTTTACATTCGCGTTATCAGTGTTTGTTGCCAAGTCCACATATTTTCGACATATTTTCGTTGCTTGACATTCCAGAATCAGAATCAGAATGAGCTTTCTTGCCAGGTATGTTTACACATAAGAGGAATTTGTTTTAGTGACAGAAGCTCCACAATGCAACAGAATGACAGTGACTAGACAGGGCGCAGATAATAAAAAGAATAATATGCAAATATACAAAAATAGACAATGTACAAAATAGCAAAAACACAATATATAATATAGACAATTATGTAGTGTGTTTTTATATGTATATCTCTGGAAGGAACCGAGTGTCTTCAAAAAGTTTCGATTGCATTTCAACTTTATCTGAAAAAGGAGCATGCTGCTTTGTTTACAGCCGTTACCGGGGAAACCGCTATATTTGTTCCAAAAGCGCCTCCTACTGGCAGAGTGTTTAATATAACTTATAACTTATACTTCTGACTCGTCTCATTTTTAAATTGTTTAAAGACTGAAATGTGAGGTTTATCATTTTAGATATATTTCTTTTTGTTTTTGTGAAAACCTGAATCTCTACTGTAATTAAATCATGTTTTTTACAGTCATTTTAGTTGAATGTTACAATAGACATTGCCCTACCCTGCTCATATGGTATTACATTTTTTTTTTTTTATGAATTTTTCAGGTCTTAAAAAAAGGTCTTAAAAAGTCTTACATTTGATTTTAAAAATCCTGCAGACATTGCACAGCTGCCAGCATCTGGAATGATTTTGATCAGCATTTTCATAACAGAGGGCTCTCTCAATTTGTTATATTTTACAGTTTGTCAATTGATATAGGCTAATTGTTACAATATAATTACAATATAATTGTTAATTGTTTGGTAATTGATTTTGTACTCTTTGCATACACATGTGTGCACCCCTCAAAAACCTGAAACCACAGAGCCCCCCCCACATAACAAACCCCAATTTAACCCCTGCCGATGAGTGTGGTGTCGTCTGCAAACTTCGGGAGCTTGACAGAGGGGTCTTTAGAGGTGCAGTCATTGGTGTAGAGAGAAGAGCAGTGGGGAGAGTACACATCCCTGGGGGACGCCAGTGCTGATCGTGATTTAAACGCCTCCAATTATAGTAAAACTGATATAAATCGGATGAAAGGGAATAATACACAGCAATTGTGAATTATAGTGTGTAACATAAACTCTTTTTATTATTATTATTATTATTTAAATGCAGTCATATTACAACCAGTGGACATGACAGTAGTCATTTCCAACATATAATATAGAAAAACATTGAATATAGACTACAATATGTAGAATGTGTAACGTAGACGCATGACGGTGAGCTGGTTTTATGACTCTGGATCCTCTCAAATATCTGGCAACATCTGTGCTGAAGTCCGAGCTCATCGACACAGTCCCGGAGCTGAAGGCAAGTGAGATCAGAAAGTGCTGCGCGCTGTTTTCTCCCGAACTTTCCCGCAAGTTGTCCGGATCTCGGCATGTCAGCACTCAACGATTCCCGCCCCGAATGCTCATCCAGACGTTCACTTCAACAAGGTAACTTAATGGCCAAATGCTGGGACTTGAATTCAGTTTTATTCAAACAGGTAGTAAGTGACATGTGCATGTATGTTTTTCATATTATAGAGTGGGGGTTCAATCTTCAACTGGCTGGCAGCTGCCACCAACCACTGGCAGGTCACGTGACCTGTCAGTGGCGGCTCCTGCCAGCCAGTTGAAGATTGAACCCCTACTGATATTATAGCCTAACAAACCGTTTTATTAAATATCTGCAGTCTTATCAGTAGCATGATATCTCTATCCTCTAATGGTTTTGTCGTCGAGTCATGGTGATTACATTTAATGCAGAAGACATTTGCAGCAAGTTAATGAACTTGGCATGAAAACGCCGTTCCTGTTTTATCTTATCTTTCCATCATTCCAGGTGCGTTCCCCCCTCTCTCTCGCTCTCTCTCTCTCACACACACACACACACACATTACAAAATCAGCATGTCAGGGTTAGGCTATATGAAAAATTACAGAAAAATGCTATACCTAGCAAACTTGCAAAGTTCAAAATATTGCTTTCTTATTTTTATTACATTTAGATATCGTTTTGAACTGTTCAAATAAATTGTAAAAATAAAAAAAATGTATATAATAATGAGACAATTTTTAATTTAGCAAATTTTACTTAATTTTACAAATTTTAAAACGCAGTACCACAAGTGTCATAACTGTATATACTAGTATACAGTCTTTTTTATGAAACTTGTGAGGTGTCATCCATATTTTGCTTATAATATATCAAAATATATTATAAAGAGAGAGAGAGAGAGAGAGAGAGTTCCACTTATCTGTAACAGCTAGGATATCATTTGTTTGCAAAAAGGAACATAAAATATTAATGCAACCTAGGGGTGTGCGATAATGACATAACATGATATCTCCATATTTTCTGGAATTTTGTCGATAACGATAATTTGACGATATTTTGCTGAGCGTATTATTGTGCTGGTACTTTGGCAGGTTTAGGACTGCGATGGACAGCTTTTTATTCTTCATATTCAGTGAGGTGCTTCGTTTGCAGGAGAAACAGAAATTAACTTTAAAGTTTAAATAGATTTTCTGTTTTGTTTTACCTGATTAAATGTATGTAGGGCTGGGCGATATGGCCAAAAAAAAAAAATAATTTTCATGTCAGTCGATATTGATAATTATCACAGTAAATTTCAAATCTTTTTTTCTATCAAGTTTAAAGGCAGATTTTTGCTTCTAAGTGAAAGTTGAAACCAGACTGTTAATTGTGGTTTTAAACTATTCTTTATGGTCAGAACATGACAAACACTTGACGTTTTTGAATTCTTTACACTTTCCAGTCATTTTTCCTTAACAAAATAAATATCTTAATAGAAAAAAAAATCAGCATGTTCTAATGAGTGACATTATTTCAGATCAGATGTGTGAAATGCAAGTATGGGACACCATACATGACCACACGTCACGCAATCCATAGATTCCTTAAAATAGATTTGCTTAGCCTGATTCCAATATGTATTATTTCCATAATTTCAGTTGTGAAGTTATCGAATTCCTATAATCTGTTGTTTTCTAGTATGTCTTAGAGGCCTCATTCATATTTTGATTATTCTGATTATTGCAAAGATAAATTATTGTGATCAGTCAATATTGATGGCTCAATGGACGCCTCATTTGTCTTCTGCTGTAATGAATTAGAAATCAACTAAAAATCGAATCCGGACTCTTTAGACTTATCCCTACTACTCCAGATATAGTCTTTTAAATCTGGATGTTTACATCTCCGTACTCTATATCAATTACTCAAATTTAAGTAGCTCTGATTCAGCTGAAGATGATCGTTTAATATCACTGCCCCACTGATTCTTCCAAAAATTCACATCTGAGTTTCTTGCAAAAAAATAAAAATCCACTTTGGATACTGTCATTTTTTTTATCAGACACTTTAATTTCAGATAATCTTAGAAAGCTGTGTAACTGCAAGCACATTTGAAAATTGCCACCAAAACATCAGTATTCAAAGCAGGATCTTACAGTTTTTAGTTGGGCTGCGTGATTTATCTTGCATTTATCAAAATATCAAATATGCACATTATATATCACAAAGAGTTTACAATAATAGATTTTAATATTATATGAGTTTAATACTTTAAGGTTCAAATTATGGTGATGCAGATATCAAATAATGGACTGAGTGTGTTGATTTTCAGAATAATATAGCTATATAATATAACAGAATAACAAAACTACTTAAGCAAAGATGTTAGTTGGTGATTATATTATAAATAATGTTTGATGTTTTTTTTACATTGATGTTGAAGATGTCATTGTCAGATTTTTGTGACATTACGTTGTATTTAAGGCTAAAGTAAAAAAAAAATGCTGTGCACTTTTATTAGTGTTGCTTCTTTCCTGGAATACAATCAATGCTGGGTAGATTACTTAAAAATTGTAATCCATTACTTATTCAAAATTGCATGACAATAAATGTAGTTAGTAATGTAATCCATTTCATTACACATTTAAGGTATTATAATCAAGAGTACTTTTAGATTACTTTTGACCTAACTCGTTAATCACATTGATTTAAATAGGATAATCTTGAACCATATTGATATAAAAAAATACTAAGAGTAAGAAAATCAATTTTATTCATTTTAATTAACAACATGAGGTGCATTAAACATTAAATTACATCAGGGTTTCCCAAACTGGGGTTCGTAAAGGAACTGCAGGGGGTTTGTATGTTTAATGAAGAGACATAATCCATTAAATCATAAAAATGTACATTTAAAATTAATCATTTTAAAATAAAATCAATCAAAATAAAACACTTGCAAAAAATTGGAATATCTTATTTATTTACCGGCATGTCATGTGACCATTAACTGTGAACATGCAATTGTGATACTTAATTATAAAAATAATTATTTTAAAATCTGAAATACTTCAAATAAATATATTGGGTGAACGAGGTTCAGATGACAAAAAAAGTTTGGGAATCCCTGCATTACATGTAAATAAGAAATAGCGTGAATTTGTGCATTTTAATGTGTTTGAAAGACAAAAGCCTTACAAAGACAAAGTAACACATGGTTAAATAACCTACTGAGTGATAATTCAAATAAAAATTTATATGTTCATTAGTAGTTGATGCAACGTTGAAACTCTTCTTAAACCTGAAATGATTTTTTTGTAAATCCAGTGGCATAGCCTCCTGACTAGTGACTGGTCTTTGTGTGAAAATCCACAAAACTGGAAGACTTTCTGAATGTATAATCGGTAGGATATTTTATAAAGGAAAATTTAAATGAGGAATTAGGGAGAATCAATAAAATATGAATTATTTATTGCTATTGTGTGAATAATATGTAATCATGTAATCAATAAAAAAGTAACTGAAGTCTGATTCAGAGTATTTTAAAATGTAATTTAATCTAATTACAAGTACTTAATATTTGGAATCTTATTACATGTAATCAGTTACTATCAGCTCTGACTGCAAATCTCATGATATTCTGTATCACGTTATCCTCATCCACATCCAAACCACATGTCAATGTGTTGCATTTTTCTCCACAGATTTTCATCAACAATGAGTGGCATGATGCAGTAAGCAAGAAAACGTTTCCAACCATCAATCCTGCTATGGGTGAGGTTATCTGCCAGGTCGCAGAGGGCGATAAGGTAGGTGTTTGAATTTAGAATTTAGAATTTTAAATTACATTACATCTGTGCCAAATAAAAATGTCCTAAAGCAGCTGGTTTGCTGGTCGTAGCGGGTAAACTCTTGGGGTTTTGGGCACTTTTCATCTGGTCAGGTTAAACCTGTTGAGCTTAAAGGAACACCCCACTATTTTCTGACTCTCCTAGAGTTAAACAGTTGAGTTTTTTTTGAGTCGATTTTTTGAGTCGATCTCCGTGTCTGGCGGTAGCACTTTTAGCTGTAGCTTAGCATAGATCATTGAATCGGATTAGACCGTTAGCATCTCGCTCAAAAATGGCCAAAGAGTTTCTATATTTTTTCTATTTAAAACTTGACTCTTCTGTAGTTACATCGTGTACTAAGACCGACGGAAAATGAAAAGCTGCGATTTTCTAGGCCGATATGGCTATGAACTATACTCTCTATACTCTCAGTGCCTGAAAATAGGCTTGTTGGAAGTTACTTAGCTGGGGACTATTTTCAGGCGCTGCGTAATATCATTGCGCCTGCTGCACCCATGGTACGGCAGCAAAGTTCCTTGATTATTACGCCGGAATGAGAGTATAGTTCCTAGCCATATCGGCCTAGAAAATCCCAACTTTTCATTTTC